ACACTAGTTTTGCCCTCAAAAGTGAAAGCCTCCAGGTTCGGCTGTAACTCTAAATCATAGTGCGTTGGCACAACATTGGTTGGGAGACGCTTAAACTCCTTCTGACTTGATGTTGACATTTTTCTGTGAAATTGATTTCTATGACCAGCTACGTAATTCAGACCAACGTCGGCGGATGTGCGTGAAATAACTAAACCGTACTTCTGGCACAGATCACCCAATAGTGGTGCTTCAGTGTATTTAAGTGGTGCTCCAAAAGATGCGTTAGAGTAGTCGCGGTAGAATTGTTTTTGCTGTTTTACGTACTGCTTAGACGATATAGCACTATCCAGGTGTTCAGACAAATGACAATTTTCTGTGCATAAAAAATTTTCAAGTGGTGATAGCTGAGCACAATTTATTTTTGGAGACACAACAGAAGGCAGCTGGGATTGTTTTGAAGCAATTACGACAACAGCGATTGCAGTTAATTCGCGATAACAACGATATGAATACAAACGTGAACGCAATTCAATTGCAAATGTTTGCTTAATTTGCGGCTTTGACTGCTGTATTCGTTGGCGTTGCAAAGCAATTTTTATGCGGTGTCGCTTTTGGATGAATCGCGTCGAGCTAACGGGACAATTGCAACTGACAGCTGGAATGGGCATGCAAAAGGAAACATAAAAAGATGTTAGTGGATTAGTGTTGCCAGCGCAAAAAATTAGTACGATCTCCAACTGGAATAGCTTTGGCGATTGGCTTCTGTGGCCAATGGAAAATGGAACTTTCCAAAATAGAACAACAAAAAACAAGTTCGCATTTCATTTACATTTTGTTTTTATGTACATACATTGGTTAACATTTGAATGGTTATCTTTTGAATAAGGAACTCAAATATAAATATAATAAAGTATGTGGCTTTGAAGCTGGTTTTTTCAAGTTACAAGCAACAAGAAAACTGTAAGGAAGTATTGTTTTACCTTTCAATAAATGCTGCGTGAACTCTGTATTTGCCTTTGCCAAATCAAGGCGTAATTTGCCCAATTCTATAATACATAATTAAAAACGCACAATTTAGATTAGACATTTTTGTTCTTAATAAAAACCAGTGAATACCGAGTTTAATACAATAAATTAGCTCGTTTTTCAACGTTCAGTGCTCGATTTGGATTGCATGAAAAATGTGAAGCACGCGACTTTGTCAAACAGCAAAGTAAAAATAGCAACAACTATTCCTATAAGAACTACCCTATCGAGATGCTTTTTATTGGAGTGATGAATTGGAATACCGATTACCGTTTTTGAATT